GGGGAGCGCAGGCCTGTCTCCACGCGGGCGCCCTGACCTCGGGCGGCGGGGCTTCTCGCCACGGCGCGCGGCGCGGGCGCCGGGACTCGCGCGCTGGGTCCAGTGGTTCTTAACAGTTCAACAGTTCTGTAGCGCAATTGTGAAATGTTTAGGACCACTAGACCCGGCGGGCCTGGCGGCGGCGACGACACACCGACAGCGGCGGGGACCCGCGCAGGACCCGGGGGCAGAGGCAGGGCGGAGCTGTCGGCCGGCCTCCACCGCCCCAGCCCGGCCACCCGGGGACCAGGCGGGAGGCTTGCAGGCCCCGGATGCCACCACCCCCCTCCTGCGCCCCAGGGCGCCACCCTTCTCGAAACTGGTCGAGAATTCCCGGGAGGGACTGGCGGTAGGCACTTGGGGCCGGCACGTCCTGGCCTTACTTCCTGGGAGCAGGAGACTCGGGAGTGCGGCTGCTGCAGCTGGGCTGGACCGGCCTGGGTGCAGAGGAGAGAGCCACCCGGAGAGCAGGGGTGGGGACCAGGCCCAGGCAGGAAAGAGAGCCCAGACTGTCAGACAAGTTGCCAGCCCTAGCACCACCAGGAGCTCCTCAGGGCGAGCCCTGGGAGCCTCTTTGTGAAGACCCCCATGGTCCCTGATGGGCTCAGCAAGGGGCCAGCTCCATGTCCATGCTCAGCCAGGGTGAGGTGGCCTCTGCCTCCTGGTGGCCTGGGGGTGCGGCTGACCTGACCTCCCCTCTGGGGCGAGAGGCCCCTCAGGCCACCCTCTTGGTCCAATGTTTAGGGGAGCTGCTAGGGCAGCCTGAATGGGGGTCAGAGGGCTGCTAGGGCAACACCTCTGGGGTGGCTTGGTCCGCCAGTCATCTCCTGGCACTGGCCCCACCTGCTGGGACTGAGGTGAAAGCATGTGGGGCTGGGGGCCCGGGCAGCATCCACCCTCCTGCCAGCACTGTAGCCCCCCATGGAAAACTCCACTGGGCCCCTCTTGGGCCAGGGACGCACTGGTGTGCTGGCTCAGTGGTGCTTAGAGGGTGGGGGGGGTCTGAGCTGTCCCCTCATGGCCACTGCACTGCGTTGGCTCCTTGGCCCGTGAGAGAGGCCCCCTGCTGGGCTCCGGGGGTGGTGGTGGTGGTCAGTGTTTCCAAGTCGGTAACTGATTTTCTTTGCCTGTGAATGTAGACCTTGTAGGGTGACAATAAACAAACGGATTCCAAGGCCTCGCTCTGTCACTGTGCCTTCTGCCCTTCCTCCCCTAGGCCTCGGCCTGGTCTCTGGAGCAAACTGCCTTTCCCTTGTAAGCCCCGAAGTCCAGGAGAGGGACTGGAGTAGGTGGGGAGTGGCCGAGTCCTCTCCCAGGGCCCTGCCCTCAGCCCCAGTCCCACCTCGGCCCTTCAGTCCCTGTCACCAGCTCTCTGTCTTTGCTGGGGGACAAGTAGCCCAGCAATCCCCACCCCCATCTCCCTGAGCAGGCCCTGGCTGCCCCCCTGACCCTAGCCTGGGCTTCTGCTGCCTCCAGGGACCCAGCAGGGAGAGGGCATGGCCTCCCTTGCATTTGTGAGGTCCCACCAGGCCTGGCTGGAGGCTGAGGGCTGGCCTCAGGACCTGACCTCAAGAGGGGCAAAGCCGGAGGGCTGAGGGGCAGCGGGACTGACTGAGCCCTGGGTTCACATCCCACCAA